CGCACTGCGGACAGCCCTGGCCAGCAGAACCGTCACCGGGCTTGGGGTCTGAGGGCCTGGGGAAGCCTCTTAGTCCTTCTGAGCCCCCATCTTCTTTGCTGTGACATGAGAATGATCCCAGCTGAGAGCATCATTCAGCGAGATGCCAGGGCTTGGCCAGTGGCTGGTTCTCACTAACCATCAACTCCTCTTGCCCACCCCTTACCCCCATGCCACCCTCCCTCACAGGTCATCATGGAGGCCTGGGTAAAAGGTGTGAACCCCAAAGGCAACTCCACCAACCCCAGCAACTGGGACTTTGGCAGCAGCTTCTTCTTCGCAGGCACGGTCGTCACTACCATAGGTAAAAGGTCGGAGTGGAAAAGGACTGTCCCCAAAGCCCCTGTCTCAGTGGGGACTCCCCTCCAGAGACCAGAAGTTGATTGCTCTGGGAGGAGATTCCAGGATGCGCAGGTAGTGGGGAGGAGGTGGGGGGAGGCAATACAGTGTGCACTACACTGCAAGCGACTGGTTTGGGCACCAGGGCTCCCTCTGCTGGGCTCTCTCTGATGGTCTCACTGGGGGCTGGTGAGAGGGGCTGGTATTGAGCTACCAACTCCTGCCTTGGGGCATGTTAAACCTGCACATTTTGAGCCTGCCCCAACAGACCAAGCACCCTCCTGTGGCCATAAACATCTCTCAGGTTGAGAGACGCAGGGGCTTGAGGTGGGACATCGTCCATGTGTTCGCAATCTGCCCACCCAAACTGTAAGTGCTATCCCAGATGTCCTCAGGGGGCTGACCACATTTGCTCTACACACACACACACACACACACACACACACACACACACACGCTCCATGGAGACTCCTCCACACCCCTCTACCCATTCCGCTAAATCCAGGTCCACCCACCTTCCTTGAACTCGGGTGACCTGCCAGGCAGATGGTGGGAGTGGGGGATACAAACTTTGATCAGGCCTAAGCTCAGACCTCCTGGGGCTTCCAATCCCATCCAGCCCACCACCCGAAGCAGTCATGTCAGCCAGTGGCAGTTGCTAGATAGGAATGACACGCCGCAGTACAGAGACTCACAAGACTCACTCCCATGGGGCAGGAGAAGGGGCACAGTCAAGGGGGGAGTGTCTTTAAGAAGGGCTTTCTGAGATGAGCAGGGTTCTTAAAACTAGAGATCATTCTAGCAGTGTGTGGAAAACACCGGTCCTGGGACCATCCTTGAGAGACGGAAGACCAACTTCGGCAAGAGTTTGGGTGGGAGGCGGTTAGATCCCAACTCTCCTCCTGTTCACACACACATCCTTCCTTCCCCGACAGGATATGGGAACCTGGCACCCAGCACAGAGGCAGGGCAGGTCTTCTGTGTCTTCTACGCGCTAGTGGGCATCCCTCTCAACGTGGTCTTCCTCAATCACCTGGGCACGGGGCTACGCACCCACCTGGCTGCCCTGGAGAGATGGGAGGATCAGCCCAGGCGTTCCCAGGTAGGCCCCCTCCCTTCCTCACCCTGCTGGGACCCAATGGGCAGGTTCCGTTGTCCTGAAGCAGATGCTGGGGCTGGTCAGTTGGGACTGAGCGTGGTGGGGCTGGGCAGACGGACTGCTGGGCTGCTGGGACAAAGAGTCGGCCAGTCCCACGAGAGCTCTGTAGCACGTGCACACTGCAAGCATGGTCCCAGTGTGGGCTGACTTAGCCAGGCCTTTAAGCTCTGCCTCCATCAGGCACCCAGCAGGAGTGTGCCGGGGGTGAGGGGCCTCTCTCTGAAGGTGGAACCCTGAAGGAACTGACAGCTGGCCAACAGCCTCCTGTGAAAGGGGATCTGGACAGCCGTCTCAATGTCCATCCCTTCCTTTCCTGAGACCGAAAACAGGCCCTGGGCCACGCAGGACAGCTCCATGCAACCCCTGCCCGCATAGCCAGTCCTTTGTAAGATGCTGGGAGGGACAGGGAGCAGACGGGGAGCCTGTACAAGCATGATTTCCAGATCCCAGAACCCCAAAACCCAACTCACTTCCATCGAGTCAATGCCAACTCATAGTGACCCTATAGGACAGGGTAGAACTGTCCCGTGAGTTTCCAAGATTATAGCTCCTTACGGGAATAGTAAGCCTTGTCTTTCTCCTGAGGAGCAGATGGTGGTTTCGAACTGTTGACCTTGCAGATCGCAGCCCAACATGTAACTACTCTGCCACCCCGTGTCTCTAAATCCCTCCTGCCCCCAATAGACAAACCCTCTGCCCTCATCTTTCCCGAGCTAGAACCAGATCGCTCCCACAGAGATAAACCTGCAGAGCAGAGAGGAGACCCAGCTACGGCCTAGCCCCATTCCCAAACTCAGCCCAGGGCTTCCTGACCCAACTCTGGAGCCGTTCATGTCAATACAACCGGGACTCCTCCTCCCTCCCTCCCAGCTCCTGCAGCTCCTCGGCCTGGCTCTCTTCCTGACCCTGGGCACATTGGTCATTCTCATCTTCCCCCCCATGGTCTTCAGCCACGTGGAGGGTTGGAGCTTCAGCGAGGGCTTCTACTTTGCCTTCATCACGCTCAGCACCATCGGCTTCGGGGACTATGTTGTCGGTGAGAACAGAACCTGACAGCCACCTAGCCTGGGGTAGGGGGCGAGCTTGCCGGGGTCTGGGAGGTGGGGAGGTGGGAGTCAGGTAGGGACAGCTGTTGAGGGTATGTCAGCTGCAGCCAGGCCAACTTCCGTTCAAGGAGGCTGCAGGGGTGTCCCTGGAGAGCAGTGCTCCACGCGGTTCTCAACAGCTAGTTTTTCAAAAGCAGCTCTCCAGGCTGACTTGTTCAGGGGCGATGGCTAGTTCTTGCCGCTTCTATGCAGTCTCAGGAACATCTTCCTGCGACCCATGGTCGTTTCCCCGATGTCCACCAGGGGCTGTGGGAAAGAAGGAGAGTCCATCGTGAGGCAGGGGCCATCTGGAGCCTGGGGGTGGCTGTGCCCTCAGCCCCTTGGCATTTATCCCATCCCCTTCACTGCCAGGCACGGACCCCAGCAAGCACTACATCTCAGTGTACCGGAGCCTGGCGGCCATCTGGATCCTCCTGGGCCTCGCCTGGCTGGCGCTGATCCTCCCACTGGGCCCCCTGCTTCTGCGCAGGTGCTCCCAGCTCTGGCCCCTCAGCAGGGGCTCCAACCTCAAGGAAAGAGGCACCCCTGGGGCCGATGGGCTGCCCAGACCTCAGAAGATCCCCATCTCTGCCTGAGGCCCGCAGGTGGCCCCACTGGCCTCTCCTGGCTTCTCTCAACCCACCCTATCTGCCTTCTGGTTCCCTGCTACACCGCCTCCTCGCCCACTCTAGTCACTTCCCAAGGCCCCACAGGAGGCAGGCCGTTTCCAAGAATATAACAGAGAGGCAGTGTAGAGTCGGGATCCCAGACAGGTATGTGAGACTTGTACCCTCGTCCCAGAGAGCCTGGCCCTTACCCCTTAAAAGTGACCTGGGCTAATTGGCTCCGAACTTGGACCACTGTGGCCAAGCCTCCAGCAGCAGTCCCACCACCCACACACACACAGGATGGAAAACCAGAGGTGACTTCCTGCCTGTCTCAACACAGCCACATTCTGCATTTGCCAAGCCCACCACATGTACCAGGCTTAAGGGATATGGCACTCAAAACACCCTGTCTTCAGCGCATCCTTAGTCAAGGGGTAGGCCTGGACACACACAGGCAAACCCCAACATGGCACCCAAAATAAGGTGACAGGGCCAGATCCAGGGCGCAGTGGGAGCCCGTGAGAGTGGCTACGAGGGACAGCCCAGGAGAGGAGAGGACCGGGCAAGAATGTTGGCAGAACACTCTCCATGCACGGCGCTCTCAGCCTCAGGGGTGGCCTCTCCGGACTCACCAGCTCCCGTTTCCTGGAAGTCTAGAACTATCCAGGGACAAGACTTAGGACCTCTTAGGTGGTCTATCCACCGATTTCTTAGACGTGTTCCCCCAATCCCCACAGGGTACCCTTTGATCTCAACACCTCCTCTGGACTCCTGTCTTTTTAAGAGTCTTTCCAAACACCCTCTGGGGAGCCAGAGAACCAGCAGGTCCCAGGAGCCTTCCAGGAAATGAGCCATCTGGCAGGCTGGCCTCCCATGGGAAGCTCTCTTGGGCCAGGCCTGGCCTTTCTCCCACCAGAAGGGAGTTGGGGTGGGAGGGGAGGAAGAGTTGGGCCAGGCCAAGGCTGAATCTCACCAAGGCCTAGACACCTCAGTCCTTCCCCATCCCCCTGCCCCGCACCCTAAGTGGCGGAGACCTCTGGACAGGCTGAGGCAGCGCTGGGGAGCAGAGAAGCCTCCCCTCCAGACAGAAGGTCCGGGGAAGGATCTACCGCGGCCAGACGGATGGAGGTTATCAACCTGACACTGCCGGACTTCCAAACGTGGAAGAGAGGCCTGGAGCAGAAGGCCTGCGGACTGACTCCACAGGGCCTCAGAGCCTCCTCCATGCAGGGTGGACGAGGCAGCTCAGGCTCTGCCCCAGAGATGGGACATCACTCCAGCTGCTGGACAGGTGAGAAGCAGCAGGAGCCTTCTTTAAGTCCCAACAAAAACAGGCAGCCCCCGGACTCCAAAACCTATGGATAGAGGCAGGGGACCTGACAATAAACGTGACTTCTACTTTCTCTGGCCCCTGAGTGAGTGCGGTTTCCAGGAGGCTCTAGCTACGGAAGTTTGGGGGCTCCGGGCCTCTTCCCTCTTGCTTGCTCGCTCTGGTCACCCAGAGGACCTCCCCGCCTCCCTGATGGGCTGGGGAACAGGCACTCCCCACACACTGAGGCGGAGCCAGGTGCCCGCAGCTCCAGCCGCTCTCTTGTCCCTGGGATTGGATCCTTGTATGGGGTGGGGCAGGACAGTCCCGGGCCCCAGCTCCTCACCCCGCCTGGGAGCACTGACCCACACTGACTGTCTGGCGTCTGCCAGAAAAGGGACCAGCCCCAAACGGGTCCTGGCCCCGGACGCCGGCTCCTCGGGCCTGCTAGCCTCTCCACCATGTGCGGAGCCAGAGCGCGGCCGGCGCTTGCGGGCGGGGCTCGGGGCTGCGCCTGCTCGGTGCCCCGCACGCTGCTCCTGCTCCTCGTCTACCTGGGCTACCTGGCGCTGGGCACCGTCGTGTTCTGGCTGCTGGAGGGCTCCCTGGGGTGGGACTCCGGACGCAGGTTCCAGAGCGACAAGTGGGCGCTGCTGCGGAACTTCACGTGTCTGGACGGCCCGGCGCTGGACTCCATGATCCGGGTCAGGGGCTGGCGGGGCGCGGC